ATATCAAGTCCCATTTGCAAAAGGCAAGTAGTGAATTTTCTTTCAAAACAATAATATTCGTGTTCGTATTCGTCAAAGTCAAAATCGGTGAAAATAAGGATGGTGGTTGAATACGTGACATAACAGAACTTTTTTGGTAATTTTGCACTTATCATGCGATGGTTTTTTTTTTGTACTTACGTATTTTTGTCTGAAAAACACGAATTTGATAATGAAAATGTGAACAAACCAAACAAAATATTATTTATTAAGATATTTCACTATGAAGTTACAAATTTCACCATCTTTCCCGCCTGTCTTCTGGATCACATTTAGAACAATTTGCCCTTCTTTTTCCATCATTGGACAATTTATATATATCAGACAATGTTGGACACATTTTTTTTATTATATGAGTCAACTAAAAATATGATTTTCTAGTGATTTATCCATGTTTAGTAAAAAGAAGGAAGAATATCATTTGAAATAATGGCGTGTGTAATGTCATTCCAAAGCAATCTATTGACATTTGACATCTCGTATTTGGATTGACTATTGATTAAATGGCCGTCATCTGGAATGCTTGCTCACTAAATAGGAAAAACTCGCCATAAAAATCATATTTCCTGTTGAATTTTCTATATTGAAATGTGTCAGTGAAGTACATCATGAGTATATAAAGTGTCCAATGACAAAATAATAAGAGCAAGTACCTGTAAATTCATCCAACACAAGGGGGAAAAGAAGGCAAAATTTCGAACTTTTTCTTGGAATATCTCGATAAATAGTGGGTTGTTCACATTTTCATTATAAAATTCGTGTTTTTCAGACGAAAATACGTAAGTAACAAAAAAATTTTTTCGAAAAAAACCCCATCGCATGATAAGTGCAAAATTACCACTTTTTTGTATTTTTCATAGCTGAAGAAAAACCTACTGAGACATCGATAATTTTCTCCGAAATTGTTCAACAAGGGATTACAATGTTGACAATTACCGGTATAATCGAAGTACTCAAGTACTTACCAAATGACATTTCAAAATTACTAGTCCGAATGAATAAATAATGATCATCAATAAGCTAAAATTTCCAAATTTTTCCGATTCAAATCAGTGTATGTATGAAAAATATGTTCCTGTATACTAACAAATACAAATTGCTGATAATTTGAAGAATGATACCAAACGATTTCATTTCATTACAAATGACTCAGGGAATTTCAGAGTTTTATTATATGGATGTACACACATACCTTTTGAAATCCCTCAGAAAGAAAAAGATCATTCAGAACCATGAACATTTCACAAAAGAATTTTCACCAGTTCATATCACACACAAATCATACTTCGTTCATGCATCATCACAACACAATGTAACTTTTTTTTTCAGTAAACAACGGGAAAAAAGTACCAGAAGAAATCGGTTACGACCTGATATAATATCTGACCCTGTCGAATAAAAAAACGACCTTGAAAGTCATCAACCACTGAATCATGCAAATTGTTAACTGTACAGACTATACTATACAGAGAGAGATTATCCGAAAGTGTATGAATCATTTGTTAGATAGGCATTATGACTTCCCAAAAGTTTAGAATCAATTAACAAACTACAAATAATAAACTGTATGGAAAACCAGAGCCAGGGCCGGAGTAAGCAAAAAGACCCTGTGAAGTTTATACCGGGTGGCCCCGAAAAGCGGACCGCCCCTGTAAATTCCGAGATAGAATTATGAAATTTGGATGGCTGAAATAATATCTTATTTTGCATTCAGTGATACAATTATTACACATTTTGGATTACTTCCGGTTTCAGCAGAAATGACCTCAACTTTCGATTTACAAATGGGACACCCACACATGTTTGGATTTAGGAGATCATTTTACATGAAGACATCATAGCCAACTAGACTCATCATAATCTCTCTCTTTTAGAATTTATTTTGATTTATCCATTTTGTGTCAAATTACTTCCGGAAATTTTATCGACCTCATGGATATTTCGAAAATTATTCCGAGTTGAAGACGAGTGGTATTCGGTAAGAAAATTTCACACCAGATTGTGTTTGGAAATTAAATAATTTTAGAATTTATTTGTTCATTTGATATAATCGAAAGCCTGGAAGGGACACGTAAAAAAAAATTCTCTTCAAAATTCTGAGTTTTAACTCGGAATTTTGAAATTCCGACTTATATCTCGGAATTTGACATCCAAAATTCTGAGTAATAACCCAGAATTCCAAAATTCCGTGTTATAAATCGGAATTTTACATCAATTTTTGTCGGAATTTTTGATGTGAAATTCCGACTTATAACTCGGAATTTTACATCAAAATTCCGACTTATATCTCGGAATTTTGAAATTCTGAGTTATAACTCGGAATTTTGAATGTAAAATTCAGTAGCAGAGATTTCGAATTTTAGCCTTCCATAACGCCTCACAGTGGCCCAGGTAGTGGTATGACATTCTATATAATAGATGCAGTTAGGGCATCAATGGACTCTAAGCCTATTGATTGTTGATTTCTGGCACAAAATCACTATTTTAGGACGTCAAAATATTATTCTGTCATTAAATCATCTTAAAAATATTTCCGATTTCATACGCTGGTAGGTACGTTCCCACGAGAAAAAAATTTGCACTAAAATACATACGTTGCTATGGTAATTTGTCATAAAACCCCAATTTAACTATATAAAAATCACTGGTGTGGAATTTTCCACAATATTTCCTGGCCCAATATCATTATATTTGAAAAAGCAAAGTTATTCTATAAAAATCTTCTATGATCACTCGGATAGCAAATTATAGGAAAGATAGATATGGAATGGTATGATTTGAATGTTTTTCTTGAAATGGAACTGAAGCAAGAAAAAATTATGGCATTAACAGCCACCTAGATAGACTTCCAAAAATGGAATAAAAAATTGACGCTAAGAAAATTTTCACCTGAAAATTACACAACTGTATGTAAAAAACGATCTCCTGAATCAAAAAATTTGAAAATATGCAGGGTGTCTCATTTGAAAATGAAAAGTTGAGGTCACATTACAGGTAATAACTAGAAAAGCATACTAACATCAGTAAATGCAAAATATGATGTTATATGAACCCTCCAAATTTCAAAAGTTCATCTCGAACGATTCAAAAGTTACAGGTTCTCATGGCCACACGGTATAATGGGCAAAAGCTAGAAAAAATAAGATTCCTTGGAATTCTGAAATAGGCGCACCCTGTACAACGAACATTAGCATCATCATTGGCGAGGAAGTGTCAATATCAATATAAAAAAATGGCGACCTTCCTAGTCGCAATTAATTGATAATGGGAACGACGCACAAACTATTGTGACGTAATGGCGAGCCCCCTTGTATCTTTCACCAAGCACCTGCTACACCTAAACAGGAAACGGCAATTAGACGTCTAGAATATTCCTTATTGGGGGCCCGTCTCAAGAAAATTAGGTTAGAGGCGTACACAAAAATAAACAGAAAAAATTGATTGAGCAATGGGGGAGACCACTGATTTTTCAATACGACCTCATGTGAGCTCTATACCAAAAATAGTAGTTTGAATAACTAAAGAAATACCATTTTATAGATAGCGAAACTAAAAGGAAAGTAGAAAATAAAATAATAAAAATGTGTTGATAAATACACAACATAGAAATTTTCAGCACCTCCATAATCAGAACATTCTATGTTGTGTATTTATCAACACATTTTTATTATTTTATGTTCTACTTATTTTTAGTTTGGCTATCTTTAAAAGGGTATTCATTCTTTAGTTTTCTTAAACTACTATTTATTTTCTATTCTTCAGTTTGACAAACAACGTACCATTACAATTTCATTTTTCTACAAACGTTAAAGAACGACAAGGTTCTAGCATTGATAACAAATTGCGAAGTTACACTATTTTCAGTTTCCTACATTACCACAAAACTATGTGAGAAGCAGTGCGCGAAGTAAAACAATGCGCGAAGTAAAGAAGCGATTATTTGTTTCTCTCCATACTCCACTGTGTTTGGCTCGGTAATCAAATAATGATAAACAATATCGTTGTGTGAGACAAAAAAGTATTGCTTTCCGTGATTATTCAAAAACAAATCAAGCAAGTATGTGAATCTTGAAGGCTTTCCTGATCAAAACAAAAATACTTAACTATGATATGGTGTATTTATATCTCCAGCATGGGTATGAAATGCCAAATCTGCCGAAATCGGAAACAAATCAGGTATGCCTCTCAACCCAAATAACCAACCGTCACAATGTTGTTTATTCTTGATGACCTCTAGTACATCCTTTTTAGTTCCTAGGAGCTAAAGTTCAACTTACGCTATTAGGAACTAAATATGTTGACATAGTAGTAACATGTACATATTATGTTTGTTTCAGAAATAGAAACGTCAATTCAAGAGCCAATTTTGGTATTAAAATGGACGACTTTTGTATCGGTTGCAGAAAAATCATTTATTTATGAATGTTCAATAATTTTTTTTTATTTCTTGAGTACTTAAGGCCTTTTAATCAAGCTAAGCATATTACTACTTCAGAACTATATGTTTTGACGTTTGTAGAATAAAATTTTGTTTGCAACTCGTGCGCAAAATACTTTGGTCATCTTGAATATTTGTATAACTCGGCTGCACCTCGTAGAAAATCAGTTCTCGATCACCAAAGTAGCATTTCGCGCACTAGATACAAAACTAAATAGTTTTATTCGACATTTCCCCTCAAAAAATCAATATTTTACACCCTCTTAAAATTGGGACAAATTAAATTGAAAGCACAGTACATTAAATTAATGTAAATCATGATTCATCGATTGAAACGGTTTTCGGACGGATTAGTGGTCTTTCCCATTCCTTACTTACCTGTATTGAAGTATACACTGCTTGACAAATGAAGTGTATTCATTTGTCGAGCAATTTCTATCTCTAAGAAATTAAAAAAAAAATCGAGTGGGCTGACTGGTGAATAAACATGATATAATACAATAAGTGTGTTAAAAAGACTCACCGTGGAGTGTCTCCAGTAGGTGATTAGATCCTGGATGTTGGTGCTTGGAGCCAATAGCAGAAAATCCCTCCACTCATCATAGCTGATATTGAGACTGCCATCTTGATCCATTCTATCAACAAAAATAGAAGAGTGATGGTATTATAATTTCACAAATATTTTTTTTTGTTGAAGAGGAATTATCATGTTGTAGAATAATTAAGTAACAGTATCAGATATTCCCGGTACTATTACGAATTGTAAAAAAACTACACAGTGTGTATGGTACAAAGTCGATATAACATTCGGGATTCCCAATTAAAATATTTGTCGATTTTGTTCCATTTTTTTCATACCTATAAACTACCTACTAGCATAACATTCCAAATTTTGATGATCAATTCCAAAAGGGGAATTATTCATATTTAACACTTGGACAAAATTTGTATGAAACACTTTCTAACATTATACCGAGTGTACATTCCAAAACTTCACGCCAAAATATATTCATTGCTCGAGAAATCCACTAGAATCAAGGTCACGACAAGCTTGCATTATCTTTATATCGAGAATCAGTCGGGAGAGATCCATGAAATTGTGCATGCTTATATTTTAGAATACGCTCTTTTCATTTAATACAGTTTCGACAATGCAGTGTTGCCGCTTCTAGTAGAAAGTAGTTGCAACATTGATATTTCGAATGGAACACCCTGTATTTTATCGCATTTTTAGATTCTCCCTGAAGAGCTGATTTCATCGATACGTCACACTTGGGGTCTATCGAAAATGATTACAGAGATATAGGGTGTTCAAAATCGAGAAATCGATCACTATTCACCGATATTTAATCGGAGCAGATACAGGGTGGTTCAAGATTCAGAATTCTGATCACCCTGTATCTGTTCAGATTAAATATCAGTAGATAGTGAATCATAAGATAGGGATATGAAATCCGTTTTTGCCGATAATGAATAGTTTCGACACAAACAAATCCTAAAGTTGAAAAATCTCGATTTTGAACACCCTTTATCTCTGTAATCTTTTCCGATAGAACCCAAGTCTGATTTATCGACGAAATCAGCTCTTCAGGGGAAATCTAAAAATGCAATAAAATACAGGGTATTCTATTTGAAATAACAAAGTTGTTGCTACTTTTTGATAGAAGCTGCAACACTGCATTGCTGAAAATATTTTAAAAGAAGAGAGCGTATTCTAAAATATAAGCATTTTGATTCTGATATAGAGATAGTGTGAGCTCATCGTGACATACCCTGTATATTGCATACACGTTCGACCGGAATTGGATTAGGACATCCGGTATAATCTGAGTGCCTATATTTTCTTTTACAATGAGCATCAAGCAGTTACACAAAAGTATTACCTAATAATGAGCTTGTATTGGTATTCCGCCAAATCGGTCTTTGAACTTGAACAATACATAAAAATGAATAAATTTATAATTCAACCAAATAATGTTTAGGCCTGTTCGTTTGTGTTTGCTCTACCTGCTTAACTTGATTTTTTTCCTATGACTGTCTCTGTTTACATCATGTCATGAACAGAGACAACTATGGGAACAAAATCAACTTTAGCAAGTCCAGCAACACAAACGAACACACCTTTAATGTCAAAAATTGAGACAATAAAAATTATTTTCCGTCGACCTCGTATTAACGACTAAGTTTAATGTATATGAAATCGTTCATTAATGGCCCCTATTAATGGACGATTTGTCTATTAATGCACGATTGTTTTATAGGCAACCAAACATACACCGCGTGCATTCATTGTTTATGCTATAACTAGCGGAATCTGCATTTAAATCGAAAATATGGATTTCATCGACGATTTTCCGTTAACGGGTTCGTCTTTCCAAGTTTCTGACACAATTTTAATCCCTGTTTTCTAACACAAGGAATTTATTTCCTATGTTGATTATTTCGACAAATGTCAAATGACACTAATGTCAGTAACAAGGCTACTGGGTGATTCTTAGCAGTTTCCAGATGGATGATGAATTCGCGAACCAAGTTTTCTTCATTGCAAGAGAAATGAGAAATATAGTCGACGGAAAAATTTTGTAACCAACTTGTATATTAAAAGGCGATTAATGATCTCGAACATCAACGCACTCGCTTCGCTCGCACGTTAAAATATCTCGATCATTAATCGCCCTCATTAATACACTAGTTAGTTAAATAACTAATATCGGAACACAGACAGAAGCCGAGACAAAGCTAGGGCGCCTAAAAAGTTAATCCCTCAAATTATACAGGGTGGTCCGGTTTGTAATACAAAAAATTCAACAATGTGTTGTACACGTTGAAATAAGAAAAAAAGTTCATATACACATATACTTTTAAACGCGTCGTTTTAGAGATATAGGATGTTGAAAATACGAGTCTGAATATTGTTTTTTGATGCAAAGTTCGAAACGGTTTGAGATAAATCAACGGAATTTCTTACAGATACTAAACTTTTCACGCTCTATAAGATGAAATATAAATTATTTCATGAAGTAATTCAGTGGCAGCTGAATCTGGTGGTGTTGTTCGTTCAGTTATTATTTTTTAATAGCTTAGATTTCTCATATCGTTAATACGGTTCAATTCGGAAACAAAACTATTACACTAATCTATCTGTTTTCACATTTTGTACTCGAAAATGCAAAAATGAATGCACATATAATAATTGGGGTGATTTTTTTCCTTCACCACCCCCAGATTCTGCCGCCACTGAATCACTTTATGAAATTGATTAAATTTCATCTCATAGGTCATAAAAAGTTTAGTATCTGTGAGAAATTCAGTTGATTAATCTCAAACCGTTCCGATCTTTTCATAAAAAAAAAATATTCAGATTCGTATTTTCAACACCCTATATCTTGAGACGAAGCGTCTAAAAGTATACAGGGTGGCCCACGGCGATGGTACCTTAGACGTATACGGAAAACGCCGAAAACGGTACATTGGATTATCCTGAAAATCTGGTTACTCTAATAAGCGTTTGTGATCTAACGATTCAAAATATTTTCAGCGATGCAGCGTTGCCACTTTTACCAAAAAGTAGCATCATCTTTGTTATTTCAAATGGAACACCCTGTATTTCATTGCGTTTTTAGATTCTTCTCGAAGAGCTGATTTCATCAATGCATCACACTTGGGGTCTAGCAGGAATTATTACAGAGATATAGGGTGTTCAAAATCGAGATTTTTCAATTTCAGGAATTTTTGTTGTCGAAACTATTCATTATCGATCAAAACGGCTTACATGTCCCTATCTTAACTTTTGATTCACTATCTACTGAAATTTAATTGGAACAGATACTGGGTGATCAAAATTCTGAATCTTGGACCATCCTGTATTTTTTCCAATTAAATGTCGGTAGATAGTTAATCAAAAGTTCACATAGGGACATGTAAGCCGTTTTGACCAATGATGAATAGTTTCGACACAAAAAAATCCTAAAGTTGAAAAATCTCGATTTTGAACACCCTATATCTCTGTAATAATTCCTGCTAGACCCCAAGTGTGATACATTGATGAAATCAGCTCTTCGAGAAGAATAAAACGCAATAAAATACAGGGTGTTCCATTTGAAATAACAAAGATGATGCTACTTTTTGGTAAAAGTGGCAACGATGCTTCGCTGAAAATATTTTGAATCGTTAGATCACAAACGCTTATTAGAGTAACCAAATTTTCAGGATAATCCAATGTACCGTTTTCCGTATACGTCTAAGGTACCATCGACCGTGGGCCACCCTGTATGTTTACATACAGTTTTTACATTATTTCAAGAAGTACAACACACTGTTGAATTTTTTGTATTACAAACCGGATCACCCTGTTTATAAGAATATCGAAGGATATTGACGCTACTTTGATGAATTCGAACTGAAATTATGTAAAAACCACCCCAAAATTATTTAATTTCAGTCTTTGGAAATGCATATGAAACACATTTGAAGTAGATTTGTCATCAAACTTTCATCAACTGACTATTTTTTTCAAGTGGATCAAATAACACAAACTTCAAACTCAAAAGATGGACACAAAATAATGTCAGAACCACAATACCCCATTAAAAATAGACAAAAATTTTACTTTCTTATTGCACTTTTTTGTACAGGGTGATTCACCATAAATGTCCCCTCCCTCTAGCTCAGTTATTTTTGAACAGATTTTAAAATTTGAAATATCATCCCAAATGATTTTCGATAAAGTTTTTTTCTGCTACATCAGAAGATACAGGATGCTCGGAACAAACGATCTACAGGGTACTATTTGATTCATTTAAATGGAACACCCTATTGTACATTGTATTTTTAGATTCTCCCTGAAGAGCTGATTTGATCGATGTATCACACTTGGGGTCTAGCGGGAATGATTACAAAGATATAGGGTGTTCAAGATCGAGATTTTTCAACTTTAGGATTTTTTTGTGACGAAACTATTCATTATCAGTCAAAACGTCTTTCATGTCCATGCCTCAACTTTTGATTCACTATCTACTGACATTTAATAATTGGAACATATACAGGGTGATCAGAATTCTGAATCTTGAACCACCCTGTAAATGTTCCAATTAAATGTCAGTAGATAGTACATCAAAAGTTGAGATAGGGACATAGGAGCCGTTTTGACCAATGATGAATAGTTTCGACACAAAAAAATCCTAAAATTAAAAAATCTCGATTTTTGAACATCCTATATCTCTGTAATCATTCTCGCTAGACCCCAAGTGTGATGTATTGATGAAATCAGCTCTTCAGGAAGAATCTAAAAAGACAATGGAATACAGGGTGTTCCATTTGAAAAAATCAAGTAGTACTCTGTAGATTGTTTGTTTCGAGCACCCTGTATTTTCTGATGCAACGGGAAAAAAAATTCTGAAAAATCATTTCAGATTATTTTTCAAATTTTTAAATCGGTTCAAAAATGAGTGAGCTAGAGGGGGGGGACATTTATGGTGAATCACCCTGTACTCTAATCAGAACTGTTCAAAATTTCATTTCATACCATGAAATATCAAAATTGGAAACTAGTAATGGCCAATAGGCAATAATGGCCATAAAAATGATAATTAATTGATTCCAGACGATATGAATTTTACGGTTCACTTATATTCAAGGAAACCGAAACATATTCAACAATCCAAGGTTGACATAAAAAAGCGTAATGAGCCAAAAAAACGTGATAAAAATAATGAAATTTATCTGTAGGATATTACAATTCAACACGCAAGGACACAGACGCAAAAAAATCGCTCAGGCACTATACTATGATACATCAAAAACATTGACTGAAAAAAAAAATAAAACGTACAAAGATTTTTAGCTACCTCTGTAAGAGATTCGTCGCCTCACCCCTCTCCAGAGGGATTCCCAGATCGCTAAAAGCTCGAATGAGCTCATCAAGATCGATTTTTCCTAAAAAAAATATACAGGGTGTTTTATAATATGTGGGACACACTTCAAGAAGTGATAGGGCGTCTCAAAAACAGAAAAAAGTTCCCATAAAACATAGGTCGTAGAAGTAGATGGACGGTGTCAGCTTTCGAAATTACCGTAGCGCTTACACCGTCCAACTGCGACATGTTTTCTGAAGACGAGTGTATAGCACATTGTATATTGAGCATAGCATAAATGTTAAATTCTGTTGAAGTTGAGTTTATGTTGGTTGAACATATCAGAATGCAATATATTGTAAAAAATTCCATACATCAAAACATCCTGTATGAATTCTCCTGAATTGACAACGATTTCGAGAAAACTCATTATACTTCATCTTATCGCCCTCAATGAAACATGAAAAAAAAAAATCCCTGCCAAACGGGGCGATCTCAAACTTTTCAAAAATTATCACATTTTCGGATATCACCCCGTAGATTTTCATGTCGGAGAGGTGGAATAAGAGAAAAGTAATGAGGTTGTACTAAATGAAATGAGCCATTACAATCCTGAAAATTGATTGGTCCAATCCAAAGTTATGACGGTTCAAAAATGATAGAAATTTCTGCTTGTCTCACTTCAAATGTGGAGCAGTTTAATAATTATACCTCATAACTTTGTACTGTTTGCTTTACATTTTATATTGTCACTAGTTGTGAAGTATAAGAGGATAACAGACTAGAATCAACTTTGAATCCTTACAAAATCAACACAGCTTTATCCAGTTCAACTTTTTTTTTAATTTAATAAAAATGAATAGGATTTTGATAATTCTAGATAAACACATGAGCTGGTATAAATATTGACTTCACAATTATTGATATAGGTACTGTTATCTTCGTATCTTGTACTTGCACCATATGCAGCAATTTCAAATCATTATAATTTCTGAAGAACAACAATCCGAACAATAATCTTAAATACATTTATACTCACCATCTTTATTTTTGTCTAGGTGAGAAAAATGCAGTCTCAAGTTTTTCTCGTGCTCTCTGACATAATAAATAAAATCAGCCAATGAAAGATCACCAGTCTGACTCTTGGAGCTTTTAAGGAATTTCTGAAACAAAAGTATATATTTCCCAAAACATTGAAAATGTACAGCTCAACATATCTGTTGGGAAGATAATTATTTTTTTTTTCAATGAATCAATTTCGAAGGATGTCTGATACATTTTCACTATTTTGCCGTTCTTTCTGTGATTGTAGCAGGCTATGAAATTTCGTTTAACAATTTTTTTTCTACAGGGTGTCCACCTGAATGTGTCACCCCCCCCCCCCTAACCCTCGTAATTCTCAACATATTTTGGCCATTCAAAAACGTTTCTGAAATAATTTTTTACGATTTTTTTTAATCTGTGCTCCAAACAAAATACAGGGTGGCTAAAAAAAATACATCCCTGTATCTTATGTAATCGTTGGGTAAGGATCCTGAAATTTGCTGGAGCGAGAGATATACCAAAAATGCATTCTATGACCAACTGGTGTCATCTTCAGTGACATACACTGCTCGCCAACAGCCATGGAATCACCCCAATATCCGGAAAATGATATTAGGAATCAGAATAGGTCGAAAATCACTTCAGATTTTGAATCAGGACGCCCAATTCATAACTATTCATATATTTCTTAGGAAATTTTCAGTTTTGAATACCGGGTGATCAGGATTCTGAATTCTGCACCACCCTGTATTTGTTTCAATTAAATGTCAGTAGATAGTTGATCAAAAGTTGAGATAGGGACATGTGAGCCGTTTTGACCAATAATGAATAGATTCGACAAAAAAAATCCTAAAGTTGAAAAATTACGATTTTTCAAACCCTATATCTCTGTAATCATTTCCGCTGGACCCCAAGTATGATACATCGATGTAATCAGATCTTCAGAGAGAATCTGAAAATGCAATGAAATACAGGGTGTCCCATAAAAAAAATTAACTTCTAAGTCACCGTGCTTTTTAGAGACACTCTGTATGAATGAAACTCAAACCATTAAAGAGATCGAATGAAACCCTACAACTTATGTATTTAACAATTTTTTGTAATATGTAGAATAAAGAAGTTACAGGGGGGGCGACGGACTTTTGGTCCTCACTGTATATTTGGATTCAGATGGACGAGCTTCATCGAATTATGGAAGAAAATATGGATCATTTCATTTGAAAAAGAAATATTTTTTGAGTCACCCTGTAATTTCTTGATATAAAGCAAAAGTGAGCACATATTCAAGAAATTCGTAATAGTAACTTTCCTAACAAGTGCGGAAAGTGATTCTTTCCCGCACGCGACTGCCGTTGACACGAACGACGCGACTAGTGTGGGAAAAATTTTCCCGTACTGTTGCGGGAAAATTACCCTTCCCAAACTAAATTGCGTGCGGGTATAGGGTGAATCACGCACGCTTATAGAAAAAAAATTATTCCTGACAAGTTTTTGAATGACCAAAATATGTTGAGAATTACGAGGATAAAGGGGGTTGACACATTCAAGTGGGACACCCTGTACAATGAACGAACTCTGGATATCACCCATAGGGCGATGAACTTTGCTCTGCTCTAAACTTCAGCAATTCTGTTTTCATATTATGATTTTCTTTGACTATTGACCTTTAATTTTTACCTTGGCGTTTACACAATATCCGTCTTCGAAACATATCGTCGCTGTTAAATCAAACCGGCATATCTGCAAAAAAGGGATTTTCGAGTTATTGGTATCAAAAAAATCATTTTTTTCACCTCTTTGAGTGAGTCAAACCGGCATATGTATAGTATCCTTGTGATCAGTCAGGTACCGTTGTGCCGGTATGAATTTTGGCGGAATTCAGTATATTTATAAGCAGTTAACAGGTGTATTGCCAATGCGTCAGTCCAACATCAGATGTCGTGGTGAATACTTCTGCAGCTTGTAAGTAAAACCGATTCATCTCCCAATACTACTCTCTCTAATCTGCACAGGCGTAGCCTCAGGCGTGGCTTATTGGCAGATACTCCAGACGCTTTTGAAAATTATAGCTATATTATAAACTTTGAAGTAATATACCGACATATCTGCATATTTTTCTGTTCCCAGAAAATTTTCTACTAATTTGCCACCGATGCAGCTACAAGCAAAACCAAACTCAATTTTATGCACAAAAAATATAGCTCTCAGATGGAAGATCAAGTAGATATACAGAAATAATCGAGTAGAAAAACTTTGAAGCGCTCTGGTGAGAAATAGTAGTTCTGCAGATACGCCGGTTTGATTTCATAGCGACGATATGTTGGTAGATTCACCAATGGCCGACATTATTTCACAGGAAGTAAACGCTTACTGAATGGCAAGAATACTAATTTTTGCTAAAGAGATGAAAAACACTGACCTTTGGCATGACATGGGATTCTAAAAATAGTATCAATACACAATATGAGCAGTTTCAGACAAGGAATTTAATTATTTGAACTTGGAAAAATTCAATTCAATTCTACATGGTGAACATTCAAATTAGCATTCATCATTATTCAAGTAACCTGTCAAATGTATGCCAAATATATCCCTGTCAATAAAATTTTTGAACCTTGGATATAACATTGTATCAAAAAAAATTAAATTGTATTACCTTATACTTCCACTATAGACTCATTATCAGTCATTTCTACTACAGCATCACAAAAGACAAGACACATGAAGGAAGTATAAGTAGATAAAAGTACTTCAGTTCCTATGATTCTTTTAATAATGTCATGTCCTTGGCTTATAACAGGAAAATCAGAATTTAAAATATGGCAGAGGGAATTTGTATAGCTGTGTGCAAGGTGGATAGGTATATTTTTCAAAATAGCCGAACTTTTTGCAGGCAACCCTATATCATTGTGTGCACAATAAAACCATCCTTTATATTAATGTTTAATTTATAGATTAAACAAGTAGGTGAAGAAAACTAGGACCAAGATACCTGTTTATACCTGACAACCTTATAGTTACACTAGGAAAAATATACTCAACTCTGTGTTTCCCTATTCAATAGGCTTTGAACTTATGTATGGTGTAAAATATATTTTTTCATTAAACGTATCAGTAGAAATTTAGAAAGAAGTGATCTTTGAATTTCTGATTAATTATAGCCTGACCAGGACCTTACTGAAATAAAACTCAACTGACCCTCAGGTCAGCTGGGAAACAAATTGTTTTGTATACAATATGAATTGGTGTCACATTTGCATTTGCAGTTTTTCTTTTCCTGTTATAAACCAAGGTTGGGAAGTGTGAATCACCCTGTACATGGTGAATATTGAAACATTAAAAATTATCCAAGAAAGTAGTAGATGAAGTGGATTATAAAATGAAATCACTCCTAAAACTACTACTGGTAGGCCTTGGATCTGATATTTGATTTGATAAAAAAATGTAACTACTTATGAATCAGATTTTAGTACTGTTCATTGGTCATTTCCTTGGTTATTTCTGTAGAATTCATTAAATATTAACAAAGTAGATAAATACAATAAGTGAAAGTACTTAAATTATTATTGTTGGTTTGATTGAATGATTGAATACTTGGAATAGTCACCCCTTATTCTAATTCCTGCAAAGGCCTTGAAGAGACCAAGTGAAATCAAGGAAATTCTCTCAAAAGATATAGGTACCTTTTGAGATTCAGGCCAATAATCAACAATTTTTTGAGAAGGCCCAAAAATGTACTCAAAAAAATTAATACCAAATGCAGGAAAAAAGGTAGCTTGATAATTACCTTTTAACTAAAGTATCATGATGAGGTTTTGATCAATTAAGCTAGGATCAAATCATCAAATCCATACTTTATTCATGAAGGTGGACATTTTGCAGAACTATTTTCTCCTTAATTTCATCTCTAAAATAATTCAACATGCCATGTGCTCCCCTTGCCTCACAATAAAAACCTGTCATATTGAGTTTAAAATTAATAATTCTAGCACTAGGTCAAGTCATATTAAGCATCATTACAGAAACTATGGGTTCCACAGCCCTCTAACAAGATTGGTAGGGAATGCAAAATATGATGTAGATTTGAACTACTTCAGCATACCCTTATCTACTTTCAGACTTGACCTAAAAAAATGTTTGGCTTAGTGATACTAGACATTTGTATGTGATTGATCTCATAATAGGAGTTTTTATAATTTTGTGTAGTATAATATCTATTTTTTCTTTCTTATATCTGTAGAACTACTGTCTTAAAGTAGGTGTGTTAATGTCTTTCTATTGAGTTAACATTTGTAGGAATATTTTAAAGACTGCAATTATTATTTATTGTTTGAAGATTTTACTTGTACAGTAACAGTGTAATAATGGATATTTCCATGAGTAAATAAATAAATGAATAAACCCCAATAGACTAGATGGGTATCTACAGAATTTGAATTAACAAAGCTTAATAGGATTTTGGTAATTGAAGATAGAAATACATGAGAGCAGGAATAAATATTGAATCAACAATAATCATTGAGATACTGTTCTCTTCGAATTTGGAGCTCTAATTATTCATTTTGTACCATATATGCAGCACCTTCAAAGTTGCAGGTCTTCTTCTGCATGTCAATTTATATCCTGCACAATAGTTGATTAAAAACAAGGAAGCATCTCCAATGGCATCAAGAAAAATGGTATTCCTTTGGCATAGTGGGGCCCCCTTCTAACCTGTAAGACCCCGCAATCCCACTTGACCCACTTCTCCCCAAACCCACTCACCTCAGCGTATCCGTGATGGAGCAGCCCGTGCTTCTTGAGGGTGGCAGAAAGGTCGTGAATGTCGATCCTTCCGTTCCCGTTCTTGTCCAACAGATTGAACAGCTTGCCCAGCCGTTCCTCATCCTCTTGCGGCAGCTCGTGCAGATAGTGCGGAGGGTGTCTCAGGGGGTCGCTTTCTTGCGCCACGACTCTATTTGGCATGGCAAGGGAACGCTAGATTACTTGGAGTTGGCGGTCGGTCACACGAACATTTGGATTTTGGGGTAATTAATTGAATATTCGATATTCGATTCAAATGCCCAAATGGACGAGGAATTTTTTTTCCACCTCCGCAATGCGACTGGACAGTTGACAGTGTTGACACATGACATAAAAATAGTAATGTGCCGAAACCGAAGTTAAAGGTGAGTTCCCAATGCAGCGTCTCTGCTTACGCGTCGTGCGTCTTGCAATCTGATTGGTAACACTGATTTTGAAAAATATTTGGTGCGAAGTTAAAATATCTCAACTTTCTGGCGTTGCTGCGTTGTGCTGATCACTTTGAAACGTCATTCACCTAAGGTTTTTATTTATCATCAACCCTTTTAACACAGTTTTTCATGAAAATGAAGAAATGTTGAATGCAACTTCATTAACCCTCATTTCTACATAATTGCAGTTGCAGAATCACTGAAGTAGTTACCTACCGTAGTACCTCACGTACCTGCCTAATTATCTCATTTTCACTTTTTTATTTTCGTTTTTGATTGAATTAAACTTATCTGATGCAGCCATTTCCATATATATTCAGTATTCTATCGTCGATATTCTCATGATTTCCTTAATAAAATTTCAACAAGTGTGACAGTGATAGATAACTTCATTGGGGGCTGAAAAAAATATTAAAAAGCTATTACGTGTCACCAATCAGACTGCATGACGCGTGATGCGAAAAAGCTGCATTGAGAACTCACCTTAAGACAGGGACAGGTCACAGAACTCAAACACACTCTTATAGGTGCGTTCGGTTATAACATATCTGTTAGCTCGATTCCATCTGTTAGCTCGGAAAGCGTTCGATAAATCAGATCTACTTCCTCTGTCTAATCTGCTCCGTGTTCGTTAATTGTCAGAGCGAGCTGAAAGATGTAATCTGTTTGCTCCGCCTTGAGGAGCAGATCATTCAGATTTGATCGGTTATTCGGTTGTCAATTGTCAACAAACCAATGTCAACAACATGTTATTGAAATTATATCTCTTTTATGACGAAAAAATGAAGACTCGATCAACTGGAAACGAAACACAAAACTGAATTTTGTAGAATCCTCATTGCCCAGAATCGCCAGAATGACCGACGAATTTGCTGTAGGTAGCATATTAATTATATATCTGTAATTATGCGATCACAACTGCCCTGGATCCACAGTTAATGACCGATCATATTAGACAGAATCATTCCTTCCCTAGTAATTTTCAAAATATAAACAACAAACATTCAAAAAAACTTTGTTGCCCTGAAGTGTTTTTAAAAGTAATAAGGTTAAGTGAATTGTTTCTGTTTTGTGTTACTTCTGCAATCTGCAATCTACTACCTCGTTGAGCGTTCGTTAAATATCTTTAGCTCTATCTGCTAGGTGATCACGTGACACCAAATCTGCATCTGCTCGCTCGGCTCCGATTTTGTTAAACCGAACGCACCTTATGTGGGACTGGTGACGGTGACAGATATCATCATAGGAATCTTTGATATTAGAGGCTGTTCGTTTGTTCCGAGCTGTTCGTTTGACTGGAGCGGAATACAAAATGCATATTCACAAAAACATCATTCATTTTCCACTTATCCTGAGGCAGAGATCAGAGATAAGTTACCCGATAACTCATCTCTGAACAGCCTTTGAATGAATCAATACATTATGCAGAATTCAACTGGTCAGTACTGTCAAGTCAAAAGATCAAAATAATGCGTCTGCGTCATAAAATAGGGTGCGTTCTTCATTCCAACATTTCATCATGCGCATGAATCGAAGAAACCATCAAACTGTTGCAAAATTCCGCTGGAATGTTGATGGACATCCATCAAACTGTTGTAATAAAATCACAATAAAATGCGCACTTTTAAATCGCATTTCGAGAATCCAGCAGTTTGGAGGAGATTGACATGACAGTTGACACATTTTAGTGTTGTTTTTTGTTTTGATTTGATAGAAAACAATTAATATTGAGGATTTTTGAGATTCTCGAGAGATTTTAGAAGAAAGAGTCAGTGTTAATCAATAAAGTCGAATTAGCCTTTTCTGATTCTCAAGATACATGATGACTGACACACAACAAAATCCGTGTTTCCATCAATGTGTTGTATAAACCATTGTTCAATCCTTCCAGCATAAATTCCAACAGAACAATTGGTGACGTCACTACAAAAAACCGCATCTATCAGTGCGCACTTTCTTCGATGGAATGAAAAACACGCCCATAGAATAGTAGTGGGGACTTCGCGTAATCCCGTGTCGGTCATATCAATGTTGCCGAATTGTGCTGATTTTCTTTTACTTAAGAAAGAAAGTACTTCAATTCCAGGGAGGAAGGAAAATATTCCTCCTGCATAAAAAGGACACTACTTTTTTCAAACCATCTAACCTTAATCGACCTAAATGAACCTTATTTTTCCTAAAAATTATATCTTTCGGAATCAGAGAAAACATAGCTAATAAAAAAAGCCGACAACAATCAGGACAAAAAAATACAGAAATGGTTTAAGTACGTTCTTTCTTGATAGTATTTAATGAAATTCTGATCATTGAGTTTCTATTTCCATTTTAAACAGAATTCTTACCGCGGCATCTATTAGAACAAGAACTTTATAATATTTCGATTTTCCACTGTTAATTGTCGTCAAGTTTGGAAAGACGAAAGCGTATCAATGAAAACATTGATATATACTTCTAAACATCTCAGATCTCTCACATCTATGATCTATTCGTTTCATCTTCTTTGACCTAAGTCCATGCCGGTATATTCAAATCTTTAAATTCAAATTACGGAAATTTTAATAGAAAACGTTTGAATTTATCGCCATATTAGCTAGAAACACTAACTTTCGAGGGTGAAACAATAAAATTGCTCTGATGGTTCTTCATGGTTCTTATTGGAATCCAAGTTTGAACCTACCAATCCTGAAGTGTTTTTTGATAACAGTAATGAAACTAGAGAAACAGATCTAAAGCATGGATCAAAAGATTATCAAAAGTAAAAATGAGTCGTTGCTCTGAACTAACGTAAATCCCGAAAATTGTTAAATGGACTATTTCCTACAAATTTCTCATTTCCATGCACATATCTATTCCGTATTTGTGCCAATTTCGGGTCCATTCTCGACAATTCTTCTGGAACTAATCTTATTGTTTATTTTTCCGGCACAATCCTGAAAAAAGTATACTCCACTGACAACGATCCAAATTCAGAAAAAACAGGATGAAATAGGAGAAAAAAACTTTCATTTCATACTTTATTATCGTTATAGATATATATTAAATATATAAATATACTTCCACCCGATATACCAAATATAATGCGATGGAGTACCAACCAAGTTTACTCTGCCATATCCAAGAAAAAAGCTGAGTAATTAGGGAAAAACCCGCTGAAAAAGTATTTCGTTGATTTCTTCCGCTTTTTTTTTTCAAAAAATAACTATTCTGAAAATGCTCTACAAACAATTTTTGATGAAGAAAAAAAATTCTTGCAATCGACAGAGTATACTTATTGGTCGAAATTCCGTCCATCGCACCTTACATATGTGATTAATGTAATCAGTATAAATATTAATAATGGATTACATGTGCAACATGACTCATCGAACGCCGGTTACTTCTCAATAAAAAAACGAAAATCATAACCTCAACTCAAAAACCAGGCATAGGAAATCAACACTCGATTGAATAGACTAAGAAAGACTGAACAAGACAAAGGTTCATCAATAAATAAAATAAATTTCCTTATTATGGCCATGTGGATTATGGAAAGTGAAGTGCTTATATTAAGAACTCATTGGCTTGAAAGGGATGAAAAAAGAACCGGTTTTGTGCCATAATTATTTGAAAATATCACACAAATGCCACGATTATTTAGCGAAATCTTTGATGTATTTCCTACCTGTTTTTGTTTTTGATTAGATTTGTTGCTAGCACAAACAAAGAAGAATAATCATTAAAAAATAATTTGTCCTTATTTCCCACATTTTTTTAATATAGTATCAGTACGTTTTATTTCACAGAAACCACCACGCTTCCCAATTCCGGTTATTCCAATCAATGTTTCTTTCATTCAAGCAATTCAAAACTATCAATAAGCAAATTATTTGTAATTACATGATTTTTGTTCACAAAAATGAACTTATTTATTTTGAAAATTTGTGAATCCAGGTTTGATCATGTGAAAATTCGCCATGGAAACTGTAAAGTATTCACCGGTTATGTAATCTCAAAGTAAGTACAGGGTGATCAGCGAGCGGCCATACCTCATAAGATATTGGTCGTATAGATTTGAGAAAAAAAAATCATGATAAAAGTAGCGAGTTTGTCAATCGTCCGCTAGAGGTCGTAACAATCAACACCAAGTAGAAAAATGGGATTTTTATAGAATTTTGTTCAATAAAAGTATATCTATGATATCATTTTCATATTAACTGACCATTACCCTAAATTTTTTGTCTGAAACGTTTTGTTCTATCTATCAAAATAAAGCGGTGGGGGAAGTTCTATTGTTTTTTTGAACAAACCAAGATTTCTCCCGTTTATTTTGACCGATTTTAGCAACCCTAGGCTCATATTATGAAAGAGCATAATTTGCCCTACAAAACGCTTATTTGGTTTTGAATTTTTGACTTTTGCTGTCGTCGCTAGATGGCGTCAACCGAAATGTTAGCAAATTCTTGAGGTTATTTAAAAAAAAAATGTAATGGTATATTAATTCTTATATGTTTTGAAAGAGGATAAATTTCTCTATAATTTAATGAAAATAATTTATTACCTACCTTTTTTGAACCGTTGATATTGACTAAAATATAATTTTATTACATTTAAAAATGGCACGCCACTGTTTTTTATCAAAATGAAAATCAGTTTTGTAATCTCTTATTATTTGCTAACAAAAAGAACCTCTTGACTTTTTGTCGTTAGACAAACGGTTTTGGATTAAAAAATAAAATAGGTTTACATAGTGGTTCAAATTTATTTTATTTTTTCAATCCAAAACCGTTTGTCTAACGACAAAAAGTCAAGAGGTTCTTTTTGTTAGCAAATAATAAGAGATTACACAACTGATTTTCATTTTGATAAAAAACAGTGGCGTTCCATTTTTAAATGAAAT